GCTAAGCAAATATATATTTCTTAATAATTAATCAAGTTTTTAAAACTATATATATCTGTTTTATATCTATAATATATGTCTAATGGATGTCTATATACACTTAAATATGCATGTTTTTATATACGTAGAGAATTTCCAAAGAAAATATTACAAGTACGTTCAATTCATAGATATGAGAAGAAATAAACAGTGAAGGCGATAAATAATGTATAAACATACAGAAGAAACATTCACGCACTATATTCGTGTTGTAAGCGTGTATTGTAGAAACAGGAGGGCTTTGTCCCTCCGTGCAGGGAGGGGCTTTACTTCTCCTTCTGCACCTCACCTACCTCAACTTGTGTTACAATATCATTACGAGTAAGTGAAGTTTTTTTTCGAGAAAGGCTGGAAGAGAGGCAATGCCCTCCTGCCTGCACGTGTACGATAGTGTGTGATATAAACAAAATACTTACTTCTTAAATATATATGAGTCAAAAAATGAAAGTTTATTTCGGAAATTTGTTTTATTCATAACTTTTTAATGAACACTGAACCACAGTTAAAACCTTTCGATTGTTACTCGGGGACATGTCCTTGACAATATATTCCGGGAAAAAATGGATTAAATCTAATTTAAATCTAACGAGATAATAAAATGGAAAGAGATCTAATTAGATCCAAATTAAATCTAAATGGATACAAAAAGATATCTAAATAGATCTATGTAATTTCACACTTTAGTTATTCTTAGATCTACTTTATATCTACTCAGATCTAGTATAGTGGATCACTTCAGATCTGTTCAGATCTGTTCAGATCTGCTTAGATTTAAATAGATCTGAGTAGTTCTAAGAATAAATATAGTGTCAATTTACATAAATTTACTTAAATCCATTTAGATCTACTGTATATCTATTTAGATTTAATTTGGATCTAATTAGTTCCATTTTTCATTTTTTTATCTCGTTAGATTTAAATCAGATTTAATCTATTTTTTCTCAAGATGTCAAAGCCAAGATCATCGAAGCTGGTTCCGTAAACGTTTTTTTGTAAACATTTACCAAAATCTTATATATGATCATATAAAATTATACCTGACCCATGTATAATCCCACACGATCACACGTTTTCCATTTTTTCTCGGAAAATTTAAGTAAATCAAATTTCAATCTAACGATAGATCTAATTACATCCAAATTAAATCTAAATAGATATAAAATAGATCTATGTAAAAAAATTTACACTTTCCTTTATCACCAGATCTACTTTATATCTACTATACAGGGTGTCTAACAATTACTTTAAAATCTCTCGTAGGCAGGTAGAAGGAGTAAAACTGAGTCGAAAAGTCCTATACCATTTTGATAGATTTTGCAATAGTTACCAAGATTTTACTTAACAAAGATCCGCGAATAAGCATGCATCGGGCTGTCTTACGCGCGTAAGACTGGCCGCCGCGCTTCGTGCGCTCACGGTTGTTATCCGTAGCAAATTTCCAATCTTCTTCGTGAATCCCATTTTGAAAATGTATCATTAATACACAGTAAAAAATACAAATTAATTAATTTTAAGTTGAGCGGACTACCTAGGACATGTAAAACTGATTAAAGTAACTCATTCGTCATGTGTTACTTATTGCCAAAGTAGTAATGTTAAATAATTGATACTTTATATTTATATTTGTTATTTTGACTTTAAATGTAACGTAAAAATAATATAACATAAAATAATTATAAATTATATGAAAAAATAGTTACAATAACTCGTAAGAAATGTACTTGTTCTATAAAAAGAACATTCAAAATAAAACGTTTTTTTCGGTATCAAATAATAAAGAATCTTTCACACGAACATCTGGTGTTTTCACTTGCATCTGCTCAAGCATTCTGTTTTGACATTAAGATTATTTATTTTGAGTAAGAAACTTCCAAGATGTTATTATCTCGTCATTAGCGTTATTAACTATTAAAAATATTGAAGAACGAGTACATTTTTTACGAGTTATTGTAACTATTTTTCCACGTAATTTTTAATTATTTTATGTTATTTTATTTTTACGTTACATTTAAAGTCAAAATAACAAATATAAATATAAAGTGTCAATTACTTAACATTACTACTTTGGCAATAAGTAACACATGACGAATGAGTTACTTTAATTAGTTTTACATGTTCTAGGTAGTCCGCTCAAAGTAAAATTAATTAATTTGTATTTTTTACTGTGTATTAATGATACATTTTGAGAATGTGATTCACGAAGAATATTGGAAATATTTGTTGAATATAAAAAATAAAATGTAAACAAATAGAAAAAATAAAAAGAAATCACATCATTGCATTATTATTTGCGACAAAAACTACCTTCCTTAATTCTTCCAGTAAATCATTAATTAAGCAAATAAATTAATAAATAAATAACAACTCACTACCGACATCTCGGAAGTTTCTTACTCAAAATAAATCTTAATGTCAAAACAGGATGCTTGAGCAGATGCGAGTCAAAACACAAGATATTCGTGTGAGTGAGTCTTTATTCTTTGATATCGAAAAAAATGACAAACGTTTTAATTTCTTTCATAATGTGAAGCATTACTCCACTGCTTCCCAGCAAACACTCGAGGACAGCGAAACATACTACGAATTTACAAATTGTACTGAACTACTCACAGTATGAGTGCTCTGTGGTCTTTCTTATAATTTTTTTCTTATACAATTTTGCTCATACATTGATGAAGATCTGAACGAAAGTATCGAAACATTTGTAATTGTTTTTGTTTTATTAAATAAAAAAGACCTCACTCACACGAACATCTTGTCTTTTGGCTCGCATTTTTTAAGCATTCTGTTTTATCATCTCACAAGCTCATTTAATTAATCTCAAAAATTAATGTCAAAATTTTGATAATGATCACTTATTGTTTCTTTATTGATTTATTTACGGAAAATATTATACAAAAAAATACAATCCTATAAAAAAATTTTATTTTTTTTAAATATTACAATATTTAAATATTCTTTGTGTAAGTTAAAAATTAAATAGGTAATGTAAAAGGAAGAAATGTAAAATAAACAAAGTAAGAAAATCATTAGTACATTATGATTAGCAACAATATGTAACTTTCAATTATTTTTCTTTCTTTATGAGATTCTTTCTGTAAATAATTAACGTATTCGAGAAATAATTAATGAGATTCTTTCTGTAAATAATTAACGTCTTATAACAAAACTATTCTCAAAATTCGGCAATTCTTATTTTAAGAATATCATGATCCACATGCTGAGTCATCGATCTCGAATGTGTTAATATCAAAATGTTGATAATGATTATTTAGTTATGTATATATTTATTTATTTTATGTAAAGACTCTTACAAAAATACAATTTATTTTATGTAAAGACTCGTACAAAAAATACAAAGGTTTATAATTTTTGTAGTTACAATAATAGAATATTTAAAATTGTTTCTTTTTTGTATGTAAAATTAATAAGTAAAAAAAAAGATCAAAGAAATAAATAACAATAACAATCAGTAATACA